GTCCTAATCAAGGCAGTATTTAAACAATAATAATAAGGATCGTCACTGATCAATCAGAATTTATCATTTCTATGAGAATTTTATTGTTGCTATCGTTTTCACCTTCTCAAAGAATACTTTATAAACGTAATGTAAAAATGATCGAACACGTAATTTTTACGCAAGTATAATTATTTAGATTTATTGTCAACGATGAAAGGATTAGCGGCCGGTGAATTAAAGCTCACGATGAATGACAATAAGATCGTCGATTGCACAGTGCCGGGAGGTGCGCTCATTCCTCTTATGTCAAACATAATTTCCGTCCGCGCCAGGGCGAAACTAGTGTTGGTCGTCGAGAAGGATACTGTCTTTCAGAAATTGTTAGAGGATGGTTGTACCTCCGTCTTGAAATGTGTCCTTGTTACGGGAAAGGGCTATCCGGACGTGGCCACGAGAATGTTCGTCAAGTTTCTGTCCGAGAGACTGAAGCTTCCAGTTTATATAATTGTGGACGCGGATCCTTTCGGAGTGGAAATCATGTGTGTCTATCGGTAAACCAATAATCGAATAATTTATAAATGAGTGAAATAAAAAATACATAAATTACAACATAATTAACGAGTTCTACAGTCGAATATTTGAATTATTTATTAAATTGCGAATTTCTCTACAAAGACGTAAATGCATGAAACTTGATTTTTAAAGATTCCAGGGGGGAATAAAATATGTTTTTGTTTGCAACTAGTTTCGGCTCGACTGGCTTGTCCAGAGAGCGAGAGAGCTTGGTCTGTCCGAACGCTCGGTGGCTAGGAATACATCCGTCGGAACTTCTCGCACTGGGAGTGAATACTGTTCCATTAACGGCAATTGATTTATCGAGATTAACATCTCTCGAAGGAAAGCCTTATATGACTAATGCGATCCTCAAGGAACTCGAAGTTATGCGAAATGGAAAAGCTGAGATAGAGAACCTGTCCCCGTCCTCTAGAAAATTTCTGGTCGCCACTTACCTGACTTGCAAGATCAAAGGAGATGATTGTATTTAATCTTACGAAGTATATCCAATACTTAAAAAAAATTACATCTTCATTCATAAACTGTTATAATTATTACTAATACTATAATATCGTAAGTGACAAACTGTAAGATATGGAAATACCTCTGAGATATAAAACGAAGACCGTTTTACTGGACTTTTAATTTTTTATTATGAAGCTGAAATACGATCATAATTAAGATTTTGTTCCTTTTGTGAAATAAATACAGTGAATAAAATTATTGATTAGATTACCTCCTCGAATTCTGAAGATTGCTCTTCGGATAGTTTTATCAACTGTTCTTCACAATGATCGTCACTGTCTTCTAAATTAATCAACTCAGGAATTTTTCGGAATGATCCTAAATAAATGACGCTGCTGTCTGACGACTGTTTCGTCAGAGCCACTGATTGACTCGACGTAGTCCTTTCGTCGATGATCTGCAAACTCTTCGATCTCGTCTCGTAAAAATGATCGCTTAACCTGAACGCGACGAACTTGAATCAAAACTTTCCCTTTCCAATTAACAATAAGTAATAATTTACTGATAATTTGACTGGAACACGCGACGTTCCCGTTTGCTGTTTTGTCGAATTTTTAACAACCTCCGCGAATATTTTCTCGTTTGGAATCGTCGCAAAGACATCATTTTAATCTAAGTATTCTCAAAGTGCTGGAATTGTTATTTTATGCTTCTAATTAAAAATACTATGACGACGTCGATTGAAATATGCGAAGGAATTAATTTGGCACATGTTAAGGAGCCTGAAGTTACGTATTGATTGGGGAATAAAAACAGAAGTAGCTTCAGGTAATGTAACAGTTTATTGAAAACACTTTTTTCCGGCCACGGTCCGGGCCGAGTCTCGCTGATATTAAAAAACGCAGAGTCTTAGTAACATGATTATCTCGTGGGTGTTACGTAGAGTTACAACGATATCCACGAAATCGGCAACTCTACACGTTTTCCGTAACCATTTTCTAACAACAATTTTCAAAGATAATACACATATGTGACACATTACGGTCGCCTATTTTTAGGGGGCGAGATGTTGATGTATAATACTACCTGTGATACCTAAACGCAACGATAGAAAATCAAATCGCTCGATTAATTCGTCACAGCCGATTTCGTGGATGGTTCGGTCTCCAGGTCCGTGCGAATATCGTAAAAAACCGAGTGGAAACAACTCCGCGTGTCCTGATTTCCCACGAGAAACTACGTAATCGAGAACTCGTCTGCTCTCTCGAACGATAATAATTGATCTCGCTCGATGCTCCTAGCGAATATTTATCATATACATATAAAAAACAATTGTCCACAATTGCAGAGCACGATTCGAACTCAAGTTAGTCGCCGGCCAATGCCTCATCTCGACCATTCCGTTGATCATTCTACTTTCAGTTCGATTAATGATTAGTCAACAATTTCGTTTTTCTTTTTTTCTTGTTATCTTATCTACAATTAATAACCCCGACGCGCTGATCTCTATAGAACACTGGATAGTGAGCTCTAAGAAATTATATTTTGATGTTAGTAAAAACGTAAATTCATCGATACAGGGACATAGAATTTTTGATTGAAAATCTCAGTCGATAGAGGATGAAAAAAATCGCTTTTGATTCATCCCGATATCTTAATCTGTTCTCGACATGGCTTTTGAAGTCGCAGCGCGGTAGCGTTCAGTGTTACTGACACAGTGACCTAGTTTCGCAGTGTCTTAAAGTGTCTAGATCGGTTAGTAGAGATTAGGGTAGGTCCGGGAGTCAGCCAACGTGCGAGAAGGATAACAACAGCGGTACCGAAAAAATCATGCTAGCCTTCGCAGGACAATATCTCTAGAACGGGGAATTCGATCGAGATGAATCAAACGGCATTTTAAAGAGGAAGCTTTATCCCTTCGATCGCTTAAGGTTTCATTCGATTATCGTTACTTATTACAAATATAACGGGACTCGCGTCCGAACTTCTCGTCTCAAGAGTGATAACGTATACAATGATTAAACGGGGTGTATACATGTTAGGAGCAAGTATGTATTATTGAAATGCCTGTGCGTGTGAGGAAAATAAATGCTGCAGTACCGTGTCTGTATGCCACTGTTCACCAGTGTTCTATAGAGATCAGTGCCTCGATGAAGTTCAAAAATGCTTGGAACACCGTGTTTAACCTTATCATAATCAAATAATGAAACAATAATCGTCAATCTGAATATCACAGATTCATACCAAATAATTTTAAATAGCCTTAGCATTATTATCGATATCTTTTTTTTTTTGTTCTCGTTACATGATACAAATATCTTCCTGGCGATTCTTAATTTTACTCTTGTCGTCTCGAGGTCGTCGACGAACGATTTCGCGTAATCTCGACTGTGCGAACCGTTCGTCTACGTAAAAGCAAGTTCATAAGTGGATTCGTCCGAGTGTTCGCACGGGCCCGATGGCATTTAAATCTCGACCAATTACAATCTTAATATCCTGCGTGTGTGTCTTCTCTTCCTCTGTGTGACATATTAAGTTTTGTCTCTTTATCGTATAATATAATATATATTTTTTTCTTTTTTTGTTTAGTTTAATTTAATTCTCTTTAGCCTAGCGGCGATAGTACGTTACCAAAAGCTTATTAGATACCCTTATGCGCTTCTACCAAGGTTTCATTTATTTTATTTATTTTGCGATTCAATTGGTTTTTTATTCCATTATTTCACGTGATTCGCATGCTTGTAGTTTCTTTTTTTTTTATCGTCGTATTTGTATTATTTGTTTACTGTCTGCGTGCCTGCCGTCCGTGAGACCGATTACCTATATGCCTACGTTTAATGTCCGCCGCGCTTCTTCACTGCCATTTATATTTATTATAAGTTAATAATTGATTGCGTTTGCACATTCACGCTTTCACTCACTCTCGTTCTATTTCTCACATTCTCTCTCTCATTTTTTCCTTTCTGTCTTTCTTCTCATCTGTTCTTTCCAACCTGTACGACAAAGGTTTCCAACTATACTCATGATAAAAAAAAAAGAACTTACAACGTGATTTAACAATAATGCGTCTGACCTCGTCGCGCGACCAAGGAATTGCTAAATAATCTCACAAACGAATTTTTCTATTCCTATTGACAAACTTGTATATATTAAATTGTGCCGTCATAACTAATGTAATCGTTTATTCTTAATCGTTTTTTTTTTTTTACGTAAATTAAATGTCTGTGAAATGTCTGTATTCCTTAGTCGAACGACGTTGCACCTTTTGTACTCTCTACGATCGACATCAAGCACATAATTTCGATCTAAACGATTTTTTTATATCGCATCTACTACGTCTGTCCACGAGCGAACGAGGAACACCCCCGACAAGGTCTCCCTTTCGCTCCGAGGTTCCAAGCCACGCATTTGTCTGACATGGACGAACCACATCGATTATCACTCGTCTAAGAATTCGTTTAATTAATTATTTTATGTAATTTCTTCATTCTCTCCATTTTTCTCTATTTATTATCGTTTGATTAGTTGCACTAGCCTTGATTGTCGGCATTTAAGGGCTGCTGGGCAGGCAGCGTTTTATATGGCGACGTGCTGCGACTCTCTCCGTTTCGAGCGCGATAATTTCTTTTTTCTCTCGTCGTCAACCATGAAGCGTCTCATAGACTTGCGAGAAAGTATCTATAAATTCTCTGAACGCGTCCTATTTTGCGAATGATCCAACAGTTTAAACTTCGAATTGCAGTAACAAATTTTAAGGATGGTGAATCGTTGACGAGAATTCTCGCAAGTCCAGATTTTTCCTCCGACATGAACCACGTCTGAACATCGACTGTACCTCACTTCGACCGAGAAACAGTCTCGAAGATTGCTTTGAAACTCTTCTTGCGATCAATTAAGGAAAATTCGAAATGGAAAGTAGAGATCCGTTGCCCACGACGAGGTTCCCTCTGTCGAGTCAAAATGTACGCTGAGCTGGACCGTTCATTCTAAAGCCGTACAATATAACCTCGGAACACTCTTTACAGTAAAACTTAACAACGTAATAAGACAATGAACGGTGAACGAGAAACGGGGAACGCGGTCGAACCTCGTCGAGAGTACGTTATATACAAATATTGAAGGATCAAACGGGGAGATAGAGGGTGGGATAGATCAAGAAAAGACTATGGAAGTGTAACCTTCCCTCTCCGTGCTTTTCGAGTAACGTTGTGATACACTGACTAGGCGCGAAGCTGTACAAAATAAAAATTAGAGACTAGGCATTCGTTACCTGAAATGGTTAATCATTTCGCGTCGGTACCTCTGGACGAGCGTCGTCCCCTAAACGTGGCCAGTATTCCCGTTAGAGATCGGGAAGGCACCGGCGCGTGCAGCGTAGCTGAAGAGAAAAAAACATCGCGACCGCGAATTTGCTATTAAATTTTCGTTGAAGGCAAGGTACAGCTAGCAAGCTCTCAGTCAAGCTCGACTTTGAAAGCGGGAGACCGGTACTCGAATGCTCCGAGCGGTGGTGTGTCGATATAAAAAACGTGATATACGCGAGCTTGCAAGCTCGCGATAAGCTCGATACGCTCGATTTTTTCGCTCGGCACTCGATCGTCGAAAGTTTCGCTGTATAAAAAATTGGTGAGCAAGCTTGCAAGCATGCGAGAAACACGACGACACCGTCGATCTCGACTCTTCTCGCGTGGAGAACACGTGGATACGAGAAGCGCGTGGATCTCGAGCTCGCGGCGCCCGGAAATGGCTGAGAATAATATGGCGAGGGTTCTAGAACCTACGAGCTCGTCCGGGTGTGCTTGTCCAGAGAGCAAAATGAACTTGTACGCAGATTTTTCTTCGTAACAAAGAGGAACAACCGCAGGCTGATGCAGGCGGCTGATGTACAACGCTTCGTTTTAACGGTATTATACAAACGCTAGTTTCATCCCTCGAACCACCATTTGTCTTCTACGCATCGCTATTTATTTATTTCACTGGTGGAACGTGATCAGCTCCAATAAAGAGGGATCGGTAGAAATCTCTTTTAGTCGTTTCGTCGCTCGAACTCTCTTTTCTTCCGTTTCGAATCGTCCATCGCGAGGCTGTCAGGACCGTCGCGATCTTCCGTTGCGGTACGTCTATTCTTAGTCGAACTAGTCTATATTCTGAACAACCCGACGAGTCTTCGTGACGAGCATCCGTGTCCGGGATGTATCAGAAGTAGGCAGACTAAAGATAACGAGGGAGTGTTCAGCTTGAGGCACTAGGAGGTCACGTCCAGGGCGAGGCAACCGCTGAAGAAGTCCTCCATGGATTTATAAACGTGGTCCAACACGCCTGCTAACGCGTGGCCTTCGTTCGCGTAACTCTGTCGAATTTCATTATAATTTAACGACGAGTACTCGAGCCAATTAAAATCATTATAAGGATGCTCAGGAGAACCAAGCTGGTACGATTGTACAGATCAAAATAACATTCGTTCTGACGTGAACGAGACGCGTACCTGGTACCTGAAGATAGTACCCGCATGAGACAGAGATTGGGCGAAGGAGACGCCGTGCGTATAAGGCGCTGTTAGATCGGCTAGACCATGAATAAGGTAGAGGCTGTGACTGGGTACCAACCTCGCACGTTGAGTAAGGTCAGCCTCCACGTAACCCTTATAGTTTTCTGCCGGAGGACCGAGAATTCGCTCCGTAAACGCGGAATCTGTAAAAAAAGACAATCCATCCATAAGTATCTATGATTGAAAATCCAATTAACCGAGTGTACATTTGTATCATCGATTTGAAACGCATCTATGAATCGAGTCGTTAGGAAAATTGATATATGCAGTTATATTATGTTGTATAAATGATGAAGCTGTTTTTTTATTTTATTACGTATGGTACTGCCTCGAAAAGGTTTCATAATAGATACTTTTACCTCACGTTGCAGATAATACAAGAAAACATTCAAACGACTCACTATAATAGAGCCAATCCGCGATCGGGTTGACGGCGACGCCACACTTGAACACGTTCTCCTGGTTGCCCAAAACCATGGCGGTCACGTAGCCGCCGTAACCCCAGCCCCATACGCCCACCCTGGTGACGTCCAGATACTTCAAAGTCTTCAAAAGATACTTTAACACGGTCAACTGATCCTGAATCTCGACGCCGCCGATTCGCCTGAAGAGATCTCGTTTCCCTTGCCCCCTGGCACCGCGCACGTCTAATCTGATGTACACGACGTCGTTGTGGCTGGACATGTACGTGCCCCAATCGATACGAAATCGATCGTTTACCGCCTCGCTTCCTGGTCGACCATTCACTTCGACCAGAACGGGAAACGCCGCGTCCCTCAATTCCTCGCGCCACGACGGTGGTAACAGCAGTTGCACCTGAGCTTTCCAACCTTGGGGAAGAGGGACCTGAAGAAATTACGGATTAATTTTCGTGAACAACATTTGAGAAAGATGAAAGAAAATGAATTCACCTCGAAGCTTCTTCTGGTTGGAAGAGCCAGCTGCGAGAGTTTGTCCCCCCGTTGGATTCTCGTATCGTAGAGTACACGGATCATCTTGTGGGAAGTCAAATGTACGCCGGCCAAAGGGAGACCTGGACCTTCGCAGTAGAGGACGTAATATCCTTGAGTCTCGTTACTGGTTGCCGGACTCACGGAGGCGCCGAAGTGCGTACAATTAGTGTAGTAAAACCTGTGATCGTATATTGAAACGTGAACACTCTCACAGATGGCAATCATTCAGAATCAATAAATCCTTTGAATTGATAAGATTGGATGGCCTTAGAAGAATGCTTACCTACTGCTCCAGAGGACTTCGCCGAGATCACAAGTGACACATAATGGCTCTAAACGCCGAGGATCGTCAGCAGTTGGATCACGAACAACGTAGAGGTGCCTCTGACCCGGCCTCAGTTCTCTGGTGCCTAGATAATACACCAAATGGGCCTTGGTGTCCCACGCCAAGATTTCGGTCACCTGACATCAGATAAATCATGTTACCATCGTCGCGCTTAGACAGATGATCGTAACTTCGCGTCGTCTCACCTCGTAACGACCATGGGAAAGAACTGCTATCCTCTGTTGGGTCAAGGTCACGTGCTTAATGTGAGTGAAATGTTCTTTGTCGCCTTCCTGCACGGCAGCAAGAAGAAGGAAACTGTCACCGTCTGGTGCGAACACGGGATGAGGTTGTGCGTCCAGCCATTGACCCTCCGGCGCTCTCTCAGAGTGGGTCTCTTCACATTCCCACTTTGGTGAACGACAGGCAGATATTAACGAGAGATTCTGCGACCTAGTCATCCAGACGACGGCCACCTGTTTGGAGTCGTTGCCCACCCAACCAGCGGATATCAGGTAATAGTCTCTATAAAAATATAGAACTTAAATTATATCTTTTTCTTCTTGAAATAAATCGTTGATACAATTCGAAACCGGTAGATTTTAGATCAACTACCTCTAGTATCATTTGTCCAAAATTTAATTGAGGACTTACTGTCCATCCAAAGCAGATGGTGGTTTTAACTTCGTCCTGTGCAACGACGTCGAATTGGTAGTCCCATTCCCGTTGGTCGAGTTGGTCACGTTGACGAGTTCCATGACCCACAGATCGACCTCCGGATTGAACGATCCTGGAGTGGGATACCTGACAGATTTCGTCGGCGGAAAAGATCCTTTTCTGGGTGTGAATAAGGAGCTGGAACTGGCTCCATCCTGACCCGTTTGCGAACCGAACCAAGGGAATTCCAGGGCAGTGACCTTGGTGTCGTTGAATGAAGCGTAGAGAAGATGCGTGCCGTCCGGACTAGGCCAGGCCGCTTCCGGCCGCGGGAGAACCTCCTCCTGGTACAACCAATCGGGCACTCCGTTGTAAATCACTCCAGGAACTCCGGTGTCGGTGATCCTCGAATCCTTCAGCGCTGACGGTCCCATTCGTACGTAGATATCGTTCTCCGAGATCATCAGGAGGCCGGATGTGTTCCCCAACCAGGCGGCGTGTTGCAGCCGTGTTTGCTGCATCCTCCGCGACGTGTGCAGTCGAAGGGGCGTGTGGTGACTGAAGACGACGAACGGTGAGTGATAAAAAAATGATTTCATAATTTAAAAGGATCTCCTCGTTTTAACTTATCGAGGATTGATTCAGAACTTTTTTCTTGTTAATTCTCATTTGCAAAATGTTCCAACTTTTATGTAATTGAAATGTTTTAAGATATTTAATTTTTCATTACTCGTTCATAAAAATATTTGAAAACGACGAAGAATAAATCTAAGTTGTCGAATTTTTCTTTAAAACTATGAGACAACTTTTTGATGTTATATGCATATTCACGAAGTAAGACTGTGTACTTACTCGTTGGTGACGTCGTAGACTGTATAGTAAGCGGTGAAAGTGTTTCTGAACACCTGAAATCGCGACAAGACCTCATTAATCGATATAAATCAAATACCTGTAAGTTGCGAAACGATAACGAGGTAACCATTTTCTTCAAATTGAAAGCACGCTTCAAGAATTCATTGAACATTTACATAATTTAAAACATGATTTACGTATCTATAAAAAGTGTACAGCGAGGTAATTCAAGTTCATTAGCAAATCCTGTTATTCAAATTGAGCGACGCGATAAAATAAGAATGGTTTTAAGAACGCGTTTCAATAAGAAAACGTTTTCGCCGAAAACATAAATCGTCTTTATCATAGCTATTCTCCGCTTCCGCCGGTTAATGCAATCAGTAAAGGGGGTCTTAATGAGACGAAAGGAGGAGTCCTTTGAAAATTTTAGCTACCACGGTGTTCTCATTACTCACCGGCTTGACATTGTGTTTAAACAACACGTAACGTAGGTCTGAACTGCACTGATAGCCTTGGACGTTCAGTTGTCTCTGGAAATGGAACAGAAGATTTTAAGTTATAAGAGTGTGATTGTTCCACAAAATTATGTTTTTATATATCCATATCAAGGATGGCCATAAAATCGTTATACTTCTCGTAGAAATTAGTTTACTCCAATAATTCGATAGAATGAGGTGACATTATTTGAATTTGAGCATTTCTTAGGCGACGCCTTTTCTATCTAACATATTTCGAGATTCGACATCGTTTCAACGAAGAAACGTTGCATGAATAAAATACAAGAATCAGATCAGTCGATATTCGTTTCTGAATAGAAGCGAAGCGGGCGTGGCGTGTTCCGTTCGTTCGGGCACGTAGAGTAATAGGAATTTCTGGACTGGGTCCCCTTTGGATAATTTAGAAACCTTTCAAGGTTCTTCGTCCACTCGAATATCGTGCCTCATAAATGACACTTTATCGAAAGCAGTTTTTTATTCGGAAGTAATGACGCAACGCGTGAATAAAGTAAGTGCTTAACGATCCCGCCCACGCATGAGCTACCACTCGAGCGGCGTCGTTCAATCCTATTAACATGCTAGAGGCTTCTCTATCAACGAGCAGAAGAGGCATCTCCGTTGAGCTTTTTGATGAGCGTTTGATCATTTTCATTTCTAGTTTCTAGCGTTCCGTGGAATGAACGTAAAAGTGATCGTCGTTACTGTCGGGGTGTGCTCATTAACCGCGATCCTCTGACCACTATTGCGCTCTCAATCGTATTTCATATTCCTCATCGGATTCAAGAGGAGAAGGATCCTTCGTTAACGACCGCAAATTGACTAGACCACTCTTCAAAGCCACTCTCTCTCTCTTCCACCAGAATTATATCTTATTTACTAAATGGCACGCGCAGCGCGCATCGAAACGAATCGCGATTCTGTTTCTCTGCGCTTTTATTCACCTTTTTATTCTCCCTTGGCTCCTAAACTCGCCTCGCGGCGTCGTTTCCGTTGGGCGGAAAACGCAAACGACTGGCGAGCGGCTGACCCCCTTTCCTTGAAATATACCGAGGCGAATACCTCGATCTTGGTCTTTTGTTAGATATACACAGGACCATTCTCTGTGTTTTATGGCGCGCCGCTGGCTAAACTCGTCTCCTCGATAGATAAGCTCACGTTTGATACATGACTGCCTTCACTTTTTATTGCCATACTTTCTCGCTCTGACTCGGAACGAAGAATACTCCTGGTTCCAGGTTTTAATCGTTCCCCGAATTTTTGCGAGTTCATAACGATACGTACAAATGGTCGAAATGCAGTCATGAGCTGTACAGGGTATTTCGGTTTTCTACACCGTATCTCAAAAACGAGAAATTCCCGCGGGATTGTTTGCCAGCGAGATATGAAGAATGCGCGGTCGAAATGTAATATTCAAGACGAACGACGAAAAACACCGGCGCGAACGGTACAACAGTCCGATGGATACATGCATTTCGAGATGCTACCATGGTTTCAAAATGTATTTCTACTGTTTCTCGACGGGTCATCGTATTAGCGTATCCTCCCTGTATGTTTTACATCATTTTACTCTATTCTTATCAACAATTTTCATTCACTTCGTTAATAAATTTCACCTTGCTTCTCATCAGATTGCAGCCGTTATATTGTAAAAGTTATCTACTCGATCTTCTTATCAGGAATATATTTTTTAAGATTATATTTGATGGTGAAGATGTTGAATGATTAATTTTCTATTGGCAAACGATACGTACGAGCGTGTGATTAGAAACCAGAAGGGACACGGAATTGTTCCTGGTGTCCAGCAGAGTTAGGGAGCCATCGTCTGCCTGGTAGACAAACTTGTCGTGGGTAACCCAGGTCGGTGTTAATCTGTGCGGCGTCAAATCATCATGAAGGCACTCGTCTAACGTGAGCCGCCTGCCGCTCCAATATAACAGCTCGTCGACATATCTAAAAGAAATTCACGATCGTCTTTGAGACACGTTTTATTAAATGTTTAAAATAACTTTAGAAAGTTCGTTCAACAGCGTATCGGTTAAGCCTGTAACCTTCGGTCTTAATTATTCTATAATAATGTCGGCTTATGTGGCACGTAGAAAGTTTCTTACGCGAAATTTTTTATTAATTTCCAAGCTTTCAAGTTATTAAGTTTTTTCACAAAGTTGGATGGCAATGCTTTTATAATTTAAAAAAGTAAACTTCCGTGTTTATGTACAACGCGAGATGGTGCCGGGTAGTGAAAAAAATAACGAGGTAGAGGTAGAGGGTAACGTTGTAGAAAGCGATGGGATGTATACTCATTCCGTGGTAGGTTTAAGGGCGATAAAACGGGGATTTTCTGACGGAGCCCAGGCTGGACGCTGGATTCCCCACAAAAAGTGAACATGTAAAAGTGAAAGTCAACCAAACTAGAGCTGTTCCTCCCCCTCTCTGTTTTTCTCTTTAAATAAACTCGACGAACTTAATTTGAGGTTCGAGCTTGATTAGCTTTCTCTCTCTTGGTTCATGAAAGAGCTTGTTATAAAAGTAATTATAAAATCCCAATTAGACTCTCCTTGTCGACAATGAAAAATATGGCATCTATGTACGTCAGTGGAGTTGCAGACGTGGAAATCAAATTTTGTAATATAGACAAAAAGCGGTTTAACATGGAAGTAACTTAATATTAAAATCCTTTTGATATTTATTTCGAGTACACTCGTCGGAGTTTAAAGTTACTAAGCACACAAGTGCACGTTTTCTGAAATATTTAAAGGGCTAAAGCAAAAAACGTCTCGTGAAAAATATTATACGGTTTTTCGTGGATAAATCCGGTTAGTCACCGTTCTACCGGGATCGATATTGGGAAGGATAAGGAGGGGTAAGAGACGGAGGGGATTAATTTCGCGGATCCACGCCGGATAGAGCATTTCCGACTGTTTAACCGCGCCCTCATCCAGTGGAAACTATCAGGTCGAGAGAGTCGATCGCGGAGCCGATAATAGGGGTCGTGGGACGAAGGGTGAAAGGGGGAGTGGAACACTCACCCGAGGAGGTAAATGGCCGTGACGATCCCGGCGATAACGAAGCCGATGACCAGCAGCGAGAAGATTATGCTCCGCCAGTTGTGACCGCCCTCCCCGTACGTTAGATCCTGTGAACAAACCAGAGATCCTCCTCGTCAGCGATCGATCGATTCCGCCGTCACAGATATCTAATTGAATGCACAAGCTTGCATGCACCCCCGCGAAAACCCCGTCGGTCAGGGGAATGGGGCAGGGAACGTTTACGAATCGACGATCAACACGTTCATGCTATTAATTGGTCTGTTGGTTGGCCGACCGCGATCGAATAGTTTTCATAGTGTCCAGACAGGTTGACTTGTAAAGTGACTTTTCTCTGGGGGTAAGTTCTGGGCCGTGTAAAGGTCTGTGAGTTCGGGTAGTAGTGCTACTGATTTCAAGTTCGTGCACTGAATACTCTTTGCACTTTGGAGTTCCTAAACTAGAGTCTCCATCAAGTTTGTCGAGTATAATCGTTCGTAAGTGTTGGAAAAAATATTATACATTAAAATTAGCGTGTAGAAGGAGTTCGTATAGTGTAACGATCGTGAAGGCTACAGATCTATCTACGTTTAATCGGAAGTCTAACTATTTTACATTCTTTATGATTCAGTGAATTATTCCCTTATCCTTAAATTTTGTTTTCGGAGTTCTGTTGCAATGCTGATCGGGGGAAAGCTTCGCATCTTCGGATTGTAATTTATATCGGAGTCAGGTATTAAAAATATTGAAATGGGATTCGATTCTGGTGTACATATTGCATATTCGGCTTATGCTCGCAACTCTGTTTGCTCGGCTTAAACCGGATAACACGTACCAGGCGCGTGTAATACGCAGCTACGATCGGGTTTTCTGGACCTGTTTGAATCGCCACGCGGTGCTGGTCGGTTCGCGGCCACGCACACGCGTGCGATTCGGGTTGTGGCGTATCGATTTTCGACGCGTGAACGCGGCTAATCCGACCGCTGTTTGTTCATCGGCCTCTATGGCCAACGATCATCGTGTTCAGGCCAGTCCAGATTTCTTGACTCGCGAAACGTTCGATCGATGTTTTGCTTCGTACCGGATATTGTACTCATTGTGTCGGCGTTCAATCGTCGCTCATTGTTTGATCATGGTCGGCACAGTATTTGAAATTGCGAATCTCGAATCCTCCACTGATGCAACAATCGATTTTTTAATAATGTTTGTTTCAATTACCCCATGGTATAATTGTTTGACTATGCAATTTTTTTAATCCCGATCCTATTGATGAATCGGATGAATAATATCATTTTATTACGGATTTTATTAGCATCAGAGCACAATGATGATTTTCGAACAAATTGGTTATCGATGAACCATCTCATACATTCTGTATTCTGCATACGTTTTCAAACGAGTACGTACGTCTCTGATCCTCTCGTTTCTTTGCTCTTTCCTCCGTTTTCCAATCGACTTGAGTCCAATTCTTTCTCGTCTCTATAATGTGTCTTTCGATCGTCAGAGGAAGTGAGAGCAGATCGATTCATCGATCGTTTGAATTCCAAGCATGCGATCGCGCACGTGCGCCCAATGCAATGTTTTCGGTACTATACGGGAATATGCAGAAGCCGCATCGCGGTACAACGTGACCGTCGAACGTTTGTTTGCTGATGCACATGGCACACGTCCACCCCTATTCCCATCGGGTTCTCTCTACATATACCGTCCGTTTCAATTGTTCCTTCTCGTCTAATAAAAAGATTTCGGTCACAAAACAGGCTTAAACCGGATAACACGTACCAGGCGCGTGTAATACGCAGCTACGATCGGGTTTTCTGGACCTGTTTGAATCGCCACGCGGTGCTGGTCGGTTCGCGGCCACGCACACGCGTGCGATTCGGGTTGTGGCGTATCGATTTTCGACGCGTGAACGCGGCTAATCCGACCGCTGTTTGTTCATCGGCCTCTATGGCCAACGATCATCGTGTTCAGGCCAGTCCAGATTTCTTGACTCGCGAAACGTTCGATCGATGTTTTGCTTCGTACCGGATATTGTACTCATTGTGTCGGCGTTCAATCGTCGCTCATTGTTTGATCATGGTCGGCACAGTATTTGAAATTGCGAATCTCGAATCCTCCACTGATGCAACAATCGATTTTTTAATAATGTTTGTTTCAATTACCCCATGGTATAATTGTTTGACTATGCAATTTTTTTAATCCCGATCCTATTGATGAATCGGATGAATAATATCATTTTATTACGGATTTTATTAGCATCAGAGCACAATGATGATTTTCGAACAAATTGGTTATCGATGAACCATCTCATACATTCTGTATTCTGCATACGTTTTCAAACGAGTACGTACGTCTCTGATCCTCTCGTTTCTTTGCTCTTTCCTCCGTTTTCCAATCGACTTGAGTCCAATTCTTTCTCGTCTCTATAATGTGTCTTTCGATCGTCAGAGGAAGTGAGAGCAGATCGATTCATCGATCGTTTGAATTCCAAGCATGCGATCGCGCACGTGCGCCCAATGCAATGTTTTCGGTACTATACGGGAATATGCAGAAGCCGCATCGCGGTACAACGTGACCGTCGAACGTTTGTTTGCTGATGCACATGGCACACGTCCACCCCTATTCCCATCGGGTTCTCTCTACATATACCGTCCGTTTCAATTGTTCCTTCTCGTCTAATAAAAAGATTTCGGTCACAAAACTGGCATAGTCAAATTATTATTCAATGGCGTGATAATTATTTTTATACGTAATACGGTTATTAGTATACGTAAAAAGATTGAGTATGCACATGAAACAAAACATAATAGATACGCTAAAATCATTTTCTAGAATGCTTGCAAATATAATGTTTTACATATTTGCTTGCAATTTTCCCATCGGTATTTACGGTTCGAGCCTTGGTTGAATATTTGACGAGGACAGAGTCGAAGGGCTGTCGGTGAATTTAATGGCACTTTGAAACGATTTTGGAGGTCCGTATGTAACATACACGATCCGGGGAATGAATTTTATTCACGAATTCGGTATATAATTCGGGAACTGGGATCTGTTTGCAGTTATGACGAGGGAAATTGAATACTGGTAGCATAGGTTCCTCGACCGTGTTCCACTTTCCGTTGAATGAACGGCTACGTTTGAGGATTCATATTGCACTCGAACTATCAAGGAATAGTTCTCCTATCTATTTTACTATTTGCATATATCAAGATATTTTAATAACAGGAAAAATTCTGTATGCCTATACCTGACCTGTTTCAAATGGAAAGCTTAACTGGCAGAACATGGCTACAGTACATTAAAATTCGTATAATAATTTTAGAGTTTCTATAATCATAGAAAATTGTCTTTAAGAATACAATTTTATTTACTGATTAATATTTACAAGTTCTATCTCAACGTCCAGCAGAATTTAACATACGTCTCATCCATTTGTTTCCATCCATTCATTACTGACATTATTCGTTAATTCGTTTTTTGCCCAATTCAAGTAAAGAAAGCGACAGATTAACTCTTATCTGAAACGTTTTTTCGTCGAATCACCGGAAATGTTCAAGAAGCCGTGGTAAATGTTGTACGTGACAGCCTGTATACCATGTCTCAGGAGGCTAACCAGTTCCTGTAATAGCGACACTAGTTTACTTCATTACGGATGCATTCCGGGTGAGTTTCCGGCCAGAATAGGCGAGACCACGCGCGAAAACGTGTTCAGAACTTGTCGGCAAACACGGGCAACAGCGGTGCGCGTCGCCACCACGCGGAATAGTAAAATAGGGATGCTGCAACGCCACCATGAACGGCATTAACATGATACGGGGGCGTGGTGGATGCGCGCGGAGAGAATATAATATTCCCTGTTGACGGCGGTGGTGGTGGTGGTGGTGTTGCGATCGCGGGAAAAAGAAATCCGAGAGGGTTGCTACGCGACTGTATCGTCTCCGTATTTCCCGAGGAGTTCCCGTCTCGACGTTTCTCTTCGTGTTTTCCGTGTAGACGCATTCGCGCTTAGAAGAACCGAGGCACTCAGTCTGTTTCTGTTCGCGTAACGGTTGGTTAGGCAAGATAATTTTCCAGCAGATCCTGAACAACGTGAAAAACCGAGCGTGTAATTAAATTCACGTTGCAACAAATATAGCGCGCGTAAGAGCATATTGGTTTGACCTGAATTTATGAATATGCGATAGTAGCTTTTATTGGTACTGTAGTTACGAGACGCAAGAGTTTACGCTTGTAATAAAAAATTACGGTACGCGCGGGACGGTATGTATTAATGATGAGGATAGGTAAATCTTCGCTATCCTGAATTATTAATTCTTTTACAACTGGCCATACTTCACGTTTTCGTTCTCGTTCTGTATCGATTCTCGATAGACGTCGACTGGCGCATAGTCTTCCAAGGGATTTAACGTTTTCTATGTATATCAAGTACCGGGATTCTCTCCAGCTTCTGGTTTGTATTCCGATTACAATGCGCGGATAGAGCAGGATAGATCCTGCGGTAGAGGGTAGAAATTGGAAAGACCACGACGAGGCATCGTAATCGCATAGTATTTGCCAGGCTCGAATCATTCTGAACGTATTTGTATTGTTCAGTGACNGGGCAACAGCGGTGCGCGTCGCCACCACGCGGAATAGTAAAATAGGGATGCTGCAACGCCACCATGAACGGCATTAACATGATACGGGGGCGTGGTGGATGCGCGCGGAGAGAATATAATATTCCCTGTTGACGGCGGTGGTGGTGGTGGTGGTGGTGTTGCGATCGCGGGAAAAAGAAATCCGAGAGGGTTGCTACGCGACTGTATCGTCTCCGTATTTCCCGAGGAGTTCCCGTCTCGACGTCTCTCTTCGTGTTTTCCGTGTATACGCATTCGCGCTTAGAAGAACCGAGGCACTCAGTCTGTTTCTGTTCGCGTAACGGTTGGTTAGGCAAGATAATTTTCCAGCAGATCCTGAACAACGTGAAAAACCGAGCGTGTAATTAAATTCACGTTGCAACAAATATAGCGCGCGTAAGAGCATATTGGTTTGACCTGAATTTATGAATATGCGATAGTAGCTTTTATTGGTACTGTAGTTACGAGACGCAAGAGTTTACGCTTGTAAT